ACCAGAAGTCTGCACTGGTGAATTCTCCAAACATTTAAGGAAGAAATAATACCAATTTTACAGACTTTTCCAGAATACCAATTCTACAAATTGAAGAGGAGGAAATTCTTCCCCCACTCATTCTGTGAAGCCAGTCCTGATACCAAGCCCTAATACCAAAACCACACAAAGAAAAGAAAGCTACAGACAAATATCTGTCATTAATGTAGATGCAAATTTCTCAAGAAAATTTTAGTTAAATGAATTCAAAATATCCAGAAATTCATCATGACCAAGTCGGGATTAGCTCAGGAATGTAAAGTTGGTTTAACATTTGAAAATCAACGTAATTCACCATACTAACAAACTAAAAACAAAAAGCCATATGACCTCTCAATAGACATATTAAAAGCATTTTTCAAATCTAATATTCATTCCCAATAAAAACTTTCAGCGAACTAAGAATAGAAGGTACTTTCTCAACCTGATAAAGGGCATCCATGAAGAACTCGACAGTTAACTTCACTTAATGGTGAAAGACTAAATGGTCTCCCTCTAAGATCAAGAACAAGATAAGAGCTTCTGCTCTCACCGCTTCTATTCAACAAGGTGCTGGGGGTTTTAACCAATGCAATCAATCAAGAAAATGAAATAAAAGTATCCAGATTGGGAAGGAAAAAGTAAAATTGTTTTTATTCACAGATGATGTTATCATCTATGTAAATCTGATGCAATCTATCCAAAAAAAGCTATTATAACTAATAAGCAAGTTTAGCAAGGACAGAGGACACAAGGTCAACTTACAAAAATAAACTGTATTTATAAATGCCAGCAACAATCAGAAACAGACATTAAAATAGCATTTACAATAGCATAAAAATATCAAATATTTAAAAGTAAATCTGACTAAAAAGTGCAAAAACTATACACTAAAAACTACAAAATATTGCTCAGAGAAATTAAAGAAGATATAAATAGAGAGATATACCTTTATTCCTGGGTCAGAAGAATTAATATAAAGATGTCAATTTTCCCCAAATAGGTATATGGATTTAATACAAGCCCTATCAAAATGCCAGCAGAATTTTTTAAAAAAAATTCACAAGTTAATTCTAAAATTCATGTGGAAATGCCAAGGATCTGAAATAGACAAAACAATATGGACAAAGCACAACAAAGTTGGTATTGGTGTAAAGATAGACAAATAGATGAACAAAATAGAATAGAGTCCAAAAACAGAAATACACACATAGTAAACTGATTTTTGACCAAAATACAATGGCAATTCAGTAAAGTATAGTCTTTTCAATAAATAGTGCCAGAACAAAGGATATCTATATGCAAAAAAAAAAAGAACCACAATGCATAGTTCATACTATATATAAAAATTAATTGAAAATGCTTTATAAACCTAGATGTAAAACCTGTAACTATAAAAATTCTAGAAGAAAACCTTTGATACCGTGGTTTAGCCACAGATATTTTAGATGTGACACCAAAAACATAATACATAAAAGAAGAAATTGATAAATTAGACTTCATCAAAATTAAAAATTTCTGTTCTTCAGACGCTGTTAAGAGAATGAGAAGATAAGTCACAGACTAGAAGAAAATATTTGCAAATCACATATGTGATAAAGGACTAGCACCCAGAATATATTAAGAATTCTCAGAAACTCAATAATCAGAAGACAAACAACCTGAGTCTTAAAAATGGACAAAAGATTTTAATAGACATTTCACCAAAGAGGATACACGTGGCAAAGTGAGAAGATGCTCAAATTAGGAAAATGCAAATTAGAAACCACAAGGAGATACCACTACACACCAAATAGAATGGTTACAGATTGACTATACCAAGTGTTGGCGAAGATGTGCACTGGAACTCTCAGAACCTGCCGTGAAATGGTATGTCCAACCGGGAAAAGAATTCTGCAGTTTCTTAAACTGTTCAACATGCACCTGCCATATGATCCAGCCATTCTCCTCCCAGGTATTCACTCAGGAGAAAGGTACCCATTCACACAGAGATGTGCACAAAGTTCTGAGCAGCTTCATTCATAACAGCCCCAAACTGGAAACAATCCAAACAAAAAAATAACCGGTGAAAGGACAAATTAAATAATTGGATCCTCTTCAGCAATTAAAAGGAATGAAGTATGAGTGTAATTGTGTAAAATTTTAGAAAATGCAAACTAACTTATAGTAACAGGAAGCAGACCGGTGGTTACCTGGGAATGGGAGAAGGGTGGGGGATGGGCAGGAAGGAGCAGGGGTGGGAGATGGTTACAAAGGGCCATGAGGAAACTGTTGGGGTGATACTCATGTTCATTGTCTTGATGGTTGTAGAGGTGTTTACACATCAAAACTTTTTAAATTATATTTGTTAAATATATGCAGTTTAATTTGTCAATTATACCTCAAGCTATTTTTAAAAGTCTCAGAACCTTAGCCACAGGGTTATTATGAGCAATAAACGAGATTTTATATTCATATATTTTTTAAATATATAATATATGTTTTTATATATATACAATTCCTAGAGCACAAGTATTTTTTAAATGCTAGTTATTATGTCAGTAGACAGTAGATGTTTGGTTTTTTCCCCATCCTTCTGTTAATTTACCTATTTTTTGGATAGGATGTAACTTACATAGAGTAAATCGCATAGATATTAAGTGTATAGCTTGATACATTTTTGCATGTTTCCCGAACCCCAAGAAGTTCCCTCATGCCCCCACCACTTACTAATCCCCTTAGCACATCCATTACTCTGACATCTATTAGCATGGATTAGTTTTGCCTGCTTCTGAGCTTCAAATGAGTGGAATCACAGTATATACTTGTGTCCACCTTCTCTCAGTCAATGTCATGGCTGTAAGCTTCCTCCATGCTGTTGCATGCAGACATTGTTAAATCTTTTCCTTATTTTGTTATATTCCATTGTATGAATATACTACAGCTTCTTTATCTTTTCTACTGCTGGTGGACATTTGTGGTGTTTCCAGTTTGTGGCTATCATGCTGCTAAGAATAATCTCAAAAGTGTCTTTGGTGGACATAAGCACCTGCATCTGATTGACAAGCCTGGCTCCACTCCCCACCCTAGCTGCAAGGGAAAGCAAGCAACACATTTTTTGTTTCATTAGGGAGAAGGTGGGCTCTGCTTCCCACCAAGACTCACTGAGTGGGGACTTCCCCAAATCAAGGAAGGGAGTTCAGATGCTGGGCAGCCAAAAAGAATGGCAAACATTCCCTATCCATTCCTTGGGGGCTTATTACAGCAGAGTTTATAGGAAGCAGTAATTGGAAGGACCCACACTTTCCTAACAGTCTATCTTCTCCTCCCTCCGGCGCCCTTCCCCCCCACAAAGAGTCAGCAAACTCAAATCCCAAACTGTGCCAAATCTACCTGTGGCAGCATTGCCTAAACTTGCATTCCATGAGGGTTCATCTCAACCACTGCTCCTTGAGAAAGAGAGAGTGCCAGGGTCTGATAAGTTTAGGATTAATGCATTTTATATGCCCCTATTGGGGATGCACAAGCTACATCAGCATATTAGGGATTCAAGAAGCCCCACAGTAACAGAGCCAGTTTCATTCCATTATCTCTAGAACTCACTTTCAGGCTACAGTCACAGCTTCCTGTGGAGCCAGTGTTCCTGGGAACGTGCCTTAGGAAAATGTCCTTCTGTGATCCCGGACACCCATTCCCATGCTCTTCTTCAGATTGTCCTGAATATGGAATAGTCAGACCATCCCACCCATGGGCAATACAGAGGGCAGCCTATGTGTGGGATGTGAGGAATTTAGGAAAGAACTTTACCCCGCATGCTTGCTCGGTAGCATCTGAGAACCTACCTTCAAGGATTGCTCTGCTTAAAAAGCAGAACTTTCACTCTACGATCTATTCATAAAAGTCGATATTTTTTGACTGGGTAACAGTTGAAATCTCAGCTCCTTAGCTGACACTACACTACAGCAGGCAGATAGAGAGTAAAGAACTGGGAGAGGGAAGATTCAGAAAGAGGGTTCTGTCCAGAGCAGGGAGTCAGGGCACTGAAGGTGAACCAGGTGGACACACTTCCGAGACAAAGAGGGACAGAGAGTGTGGCATCTCTTGAATGAAGTTGCTGGGATGTGAGGGAATCTGTGGGGAATTTTAAGACCTGATGTGGTCCAAGAAGTGTTGGGAAAATCACATCTTCATAGGAACTTACTTGTGGCGAGGCCGAAGACCAAGTCTCGGCAGAGGTGTGTTCCCCCAAACCTAGAGACACTAAGGTTCCACAGCCCACACTTGCCCCGCTTGTGCCAAGACTCTGGCTGTGGTTTTACCATCCTCTGCAGTGCATTCGTTTCCTGATGGAGGACCCGTATACTTTGGACCCACCCTTCTCTGGGTGTCTGTACTAAAGACATTGTTTTTTTCAAAGTGTCTTCCCTACATACCTTTCCCTCCTTTCCCTCTTTCCCACTCTGACCTTTGTGTTCATAACCAGTTAGACAAAGGGTTGTGTGGTTGAGCATGTACGTGCGTGTGTGCATTTGTGTATGCATGTGTGTGCATATGTGCTCATGGACGCATTTGTGTGTGCATGTATGTGTGTATGCATGAGTGGGTGCCCATGTATGTGTGAGTGTATGTGTACCAGGAACACTAGAGGGTTTGTGTTTTCATTGAAATTCATACATTTCCAGGACTTTACACTGTTATTCTGAATGCATTTTCTTCCAACTCAAGAGTGCAGCCATATGGCACACAGCTCTCAGTCGTTTCCCCAGAACAGCCCAAACTTATTTCAGGCATGCTGAAAATGGATCTAAACATAATTAAGGCACTTTTTTTTCAGCTCCCTGAACATTTTTCTCTCTCCAGATAATGTCTGGGAAATGGCCCAGAAGCCGATGGAGTCATAAAGGGAACAGGATCGTTGGCATGGTCACATTCCAAAGATGCCTGCACAGGTTTATCACGCCAAGGGAAAAAAGGCTGCCTGGTCCCCACAGCCGCCTCCCTGTCATAAGCCCCTCCATGCAGGGCACCCTGCAAAGCGGAACTGACCCTGGACTCACCACAGAGGCGCCGGCGCCCTGTCCCCAGGCCAGCCCGGGGCCAGCCAGCACATTCATTTGGGGGCAACATTTTAAATAACTTTTCCTTCCACAGCAAAAGTCATCTGGCAGTCCTAGTCCCTTGAAATATGCTTCCTCTCAGGATATCTTTTAGTAAAGTGAAGTATGTTCTGAGAGCTGATTAAGAGTCTTTCAAAATGGTAAATTAAAGTATATTTCTGTCTGAAGGCCCCTTCCAGCCCGTTGTTGCCAGGGTAATGGAGGCCTTCAGCGTACAAATCCAGGAGTAACTTGGCTCCTGCTCTTGCTTCACAGCTCCCCTTTACAAAGTCTGTGACTCCTCTGCTGGGCCCGGGATAAGAGAGGAAAGCTCTGCTCACATGTTTCTAGCTCCTGACTCTGAGGGACTGGGAAATAGGACAGTATGAAGGTAAGAGCCCCCAAAATGTCTCAGGCACGGGGCATTTCCTCTGGATTGGGGTTTATGGAGAGGGGCAGAAAGGGCAAGCAGGGCCCTGGGGCAGGGGGTGGGGGCCGGGGAGCAAGGGGCCAGTCGTGGACAGGGAGAAGAGCCAGCCAAAAGGAGGGCAAGGGGCTCCCCATTATTCACTTATTTTCTCTACCACCCAAAAGGATTTGAAGTGGCTTCCAGTAAAATGTGGCAGATCCTGCAAAACTAAGAGTATAAAAACGTAGGTTGTATAATGAAGCAGCAAGGGGGGCAGGGTGTAGATAATTACATCCAAAAAGCTACCAAAAATAACGACAAACTTCAGCTCTGAGCTTCCAGAAATTCCAGGGGAAAAGGGAAGCATTGTGTGTCACATAATTCTCTTTGTTTCATAGGATGCCATGGGAGCAAGGAGCATACTTGAACCCCCAGCAGCTAGCACAGTACCCAGCATATAGTAAGCTCCTGGTAAGTGTTTGTTGATTGAGAAAATGAGCCAAGAAGCCTGCAAGTTTTGCCTATGGAGAGCCTAGCAAAATTGTTATTTATGGCTGGTGAACAAAGCAATGTCTGGAACTCTCCCTTAAAAGGACTGGTTGCAGAATTTTAACTTGTATGATTTATTTTTTTCACTTTAAAAAAAATAATGAAATAGAACATAGAAAAAGAAAAGTGCACAAAACATATGTGGATGATTTAATTAATACAGATAAAGCAAACACTCTTGTAACCACCAGCCGAGTGAAGAAACAGAATATTATCACCACTGCAAAAGCCCCCTGTGCCTCTTCCTCCGGAGCTGAGTCATTATTATTTAGCCTAATCATTTCCCTGCTTTTCTTTATAGTCTTACAACCCATGTATTTAAAACCTAAAAAATATGGTTGTGTTTTGCCTGTTTTTGAATGAATGGAAGTACATCGATGTATTCTTTTGCGTTTTCATTCTTTTGCTCAGTGTGACGTTTGAGAGAATCTGCCGTGTTTTCACAGCTGTAGTTTGGTCATTTTGTTGCTGCGTTGTATGAACCACACTTTATTCATACATCCTCTCGTTAATGGACGTTTGGATTTTGTTCCGGTCTTTGGCAGCCCACCTGGGTTTTCTAGCCAACTTTGAGCTCTCACTTCTGGTTGACACTTGCTGAAGCCCTCTTGGCCACCAGGTCATAGTTGCTCCATGGAAAATACCCTCAGTTTCTGCCAGCAGCTCCGGGGCTTTCACAAGGCTCTGCCTCCCAGCACGCCCCATCAGTCTTGGTGTTCTGGGAACCAGTGACTGTCCTGGGACCTCATACCCGGAGCTGTCTTGCTTGCTCAGATACCTCATAGCTTTGACTCAAGTTTTACTATATTTTCTTGTTTCTAGATTTCACCTCTGCTCTCTGCTTTCTAGCTCCTGGGCTAATGCCACCCAGCACACCTTACAACTGTGTTGAGGCCTGGCTTCCCATAATTGCAACGGGAATTCCAACCCCACGTCACTGTCCTTTCCCTGACCCCCACTCTCTGCCTGGGCTCTTCGAATTGGATCAAACAGGTTTATTGGTTTTGGGGATGTGAACTGCATGTTTATAGCCAACGAAAAATTATCAATTGGCCAGCTTCAATAAATTCCAAAGTTAGAAGATATAAATGTAAAACTTTCCCACTATTTCATGCAGCCACTATCTCTTAAATTATTTCATTAAGCAAGTTACAAATACTGTTTTATCTCCCACCAAAATTGAATAATGAAGGAAACTAGGTTCATCAATTCAATTAACCAACATCATTGTGCTCTTAGTATGTCCCAGACATCCTTGTTAAGTGCTACAAATTTAATAATAAAATAAAGAAAAAATAAAAGATGAAGAAGTATAGTTTTTCAATTGCAGTCAGCCTCTGTACTCCAAGGATGGCACTACAATTCACATTCGGAATTTCCATTAAATAGACTTGCTTCTCGAAGGGGCGTTGGCGCAGCGGGAGAGGTACAGAACTGCTCAGCACATGCTACACAGAGGCCACCACCCTGGAGGGAGGGGAGCGCCGCACTGGGAAGAGATTGCTGGGGGAGGGAGGGTTTGAAGGGGAGATTCTTGTTTGGGCTGGAGCGGATCCCAAGCAGGGCTGCCAGCCAGAATCAAGAAGACTCATGGCCAGAGGGAGACTCCTGGAGACAAGGCCCAGAGGAAGGGCTTCAGGGTCGTTGTTGTTTGATCTTGCGAGGCTGGTTTTCTTCATCCTTCTGTTCTTAGGTTGTTATTAACCCAATGATACCCTCAACATTTAATAAAGTTTCATTAGACGCTATGTTAGCTGGGCTGTCAGGGAGGGTGGGCGGGGATGACAATGGACAGGGCAGCAGGGCAGCTAGTCCTGACTCACCCAGAGCAGTGGTCACAGCAAGAAGAAGAGGGGGCTTGTGGGAGACTCAGGACATTTGGGTCCCCTGCCTTCCTCCATACATGCACAGTGGGGGCTTGGTTTGGGATTATTTGAGCCGGGAGTGTGGAGAACTGGGACTTCTGGGTTAAACAGAACTGAACACGACGGAGCCCCGGCCCTCAGGAGTTTAGAGTCCAAGCAGAGAAGCCAATCTGCAGACAGATAAGCAGAGTACAAAGTGCTAGGCAAGATGCTGAACACCTGGAGCAGGAGGACGGTGCACCTCCTGGAGGAGGCAAGGTCTCAGCAGGTCCTGCACAGCTGTTTGTGCAGGTGGTTGTGAGAGTGTATGGGGCATAGCAGCAGCAGGGAAGAAGGGACGGTCAGCGTTTAAGGAGAGGCACCAGTTCTCTTACTTCACAGGTTCTGTGCTCCACTTTGTCTCTCCATCCTCTGCCCCAGGGCTTCCAGTGGGGCATCCCCAGAGGATGGCGCAGGACACGAAGGTAGAGTCCCTGTGACCATTGCGCTCCCCGGGCTGCATGCACCGTGCTCCAGGCCTTTTGCAGCTGAAGTTTCCAGGCCTCTCCCTTTCCTTCCCCTGCCTTCCAGGGGCTTCCCCAGGATGCCCCGAGGGTACCTGCTTTCCAGCCTGCTGACCCTGCTCTGACCAAATCACTGACTGGACTTGGCATCGAAACCCCGCACAGTCTGCTCGGCCGGTTACTGGCTCAGTGCTCCGTGGCTACTGCTTGAAGCTGCTCCTCCTCTAATTGAGAAATGATTTCCAGATGCCACGAAAACTCATGGTTTTATTGCTTTCTTGAAAGACTAAGTCTCTCTTTCCCCATGGGCAAGGCTATACCATAATTGAGACACTTTTGAAAGGAGAGGACAGCGAACCACACTTTCAGTGTCATAATACTTTGAAAGGAAACAAATGGAAGCCCTTTCAGGTGGGAATCCATTTCATGCTATGAGGAGGAGTCAAGAGTCCTTCTTGCATAAGCTCTGCTGGAAATTAGTATTTTCATTTTGGACAGGTCAACTCATCTTTCTTTGACTTAATTTTTCCATTTATAAACTAGAGACAGTAGTGTAGTTCCCACCTCTGTTTTCCTAAAAGGGTGTAAAATCCAAACTTTTGGCCAATCTCACCCACCAAATTCCCCATTTTTTGAAGCACATATTTCTGACAATGATGTTATGATGCTCCTAGGCACCCACTTGATGTCCATCTTTGACCCTTTCCTATCTTCCGTTTCCCAAATTCAGTCAGCCTCCAAGTTTTGTCCACCCTTCATTGTACAACCTCCTTCTGCCCTTCCAGCCATTCTCTCCCAGGGCGCCAGCTACACTCACTTGGGGGCTATTGCATTTGCTTCCTAACCAGTCACCTCCTTCAGTGATTTCCTCTTCCAGCTGCCCTGCAGACTGCTGCCAGAGTCATCTTCCTAAAACGTCCTTCTTCATAGATTGTCCTCTACACCAGTGGTTCTCAATCAGGATGATTCTGCCTCCAGGAACATGTGGCAAAGCCTGGAGATGTTTGTGGGTGGATGTCACAACTAGGGTGGGGGGCACTCTGACAGCTAGTGGGTAGAGGCCAGAGGGCCTGACAAACCTCCTACAATGCCTTACTCAACAAAGAATTATCTGGCCCGAAATGTCAGTAGTGCCAAAATTAAGGAGTCCTGCTCTACCCTCAAAAAATTGTCAGTGGCTGAGGGCTGGCCCCATGGCCGAGTGGTTAAGTTCGCACACTCCGCTGCAGGCGGCTCAGTGTTTTGTTGGTTCGAGTCCTGGGCGCAGACACGGCACTGCTCCTCAAGCCACGCTGAGGCGGCATCCCACATGCCACAGCTAGGAGGACCCACAACGAGGAATATACAACTATGTACCTGGGGGCTTTGGGGAGAAAAAGGAAAAAAATACGAATAAATTGTCAGTGGCTTCCTGGAACCTATTTTTTAAAGTCCAAACTTATCCTGGACTCAAGGCCCAGCACAATCAGATTTTGACCATCTCTCTAACCTTGTCTTCCTTTAGCACCCAGGGTCCATCTCTTGCAAGACAAATATTCAGCTTGAGACTTGCCAATTTATGACGTCTTCCCAGGCCCTCACCCCTCAGCTCTAAGAGAGCCTCTCCTCTTATCGAAAACATAGCACTTTTTGTCTGTTGCCTTTCCACATGAGATACCTCACCTCTTTGGTGTCAGGAACACTATTGCCACCCCAGATGCCTATCACTTGGGGGCAACACAATGAATGCCAGTGATTCAAAAGAAGAAATTCTTGGAAAGAGGAATGAATCCTCTGGAAGAACACACAATTCAATTCTAAGCCACTATGCTCAAAAGAGCTCATGAGCTCCCAGCAGCACATATTTACTCCAACAGTCGGGCTGCACAACCCCTCAGATTCTGGACACGCCACAGTGTCACTGTATTTCTCATCTGAAACCACCCTGGAGCGTGGAGGCTGTGGGAGACTCAGGGTCTGGGTACAAGTTCCTAATACTCTGGGCAGATAGGGACTTGTGAAAAATTCCTGTTTTGGGCAGGAGCTCACCCATCTGATGTCCACTCCTTCCTTTGCATGCCTCCTTGCTTCACTTCATAGAATGATAGAAATTCTTCTAGTAGAATTATTAGGTAGAGATTATTCTATCAGATCCTCTGCTTTACATACATACCACAAAATTCTTTGAACTAGAGGCAAGTGGAATCATCTAACCCCATGTGCTGCCCTAGGACATCATCATGATCATCATCAACGTTGTCATCATTATTGTCTTTACAAAAATCTTTAATATAATCTTTCATGGTGCACAACAGAACTAAGCGCTGTACAAACAAGCCTTGTCTCCTTTAAGGTTTATAATGCAGGGCACACTCTGATGCTTAGGACTTGCAGAAGGCGGAAGGAGGTTAGTAGATGACCAAGATAAGCCTAGGACAAGGCATGTGTGTGTATAGTCAGTCAGCAAGCATTTAGTGAGTGTGGGCAGAGGAATTCAGGGTCATGTTGGGGCATAAAAAGAGAAATGAGAGATGACAATAAAGAAATGACACTGACCTTTTAAAAATTGACTGTTACTTTTCAAAATAACATTTCAAAATTACCTAAGAATAGCTTCCAATATAATTGATATTGTTTGACATGCTTGTAGGTTGCCCCCTTAAGGAATTTCTTTAAAGCTAACTTTTATAATCTATAAGACTCTAAAACCTTAGCATCATCTAGTTTGATCACTTATGTTGGGCACATCAGATGTCCAGATAACTTAGCATTGTCCAAAAATTAAGGCCATAATTAAAGGAAGAATTTTCACTCTTTTATTTTGGAATGTTTCAAATGTAAGTGACAGAAAATCCCACTTAAGTGGCTTAAGTAACTGCAGGTTTACTTTTCTAAACAACAAGTCTAGGGGTGGATAGTCACTGATATGTGTAGTCATCAGAGATTCCAGGACCAGATTCTCTATGATTATCTTAGCCCTTTCCTCATGGTGGCAAAAGAACTGGTGATGCCCCAGGCATCAAATCTGTGTTCAGGAGGAAAGAAGGAGAGACCTGAGCAGCTGCAAATATCTGCTTTTAGCAGTAATGTAATGGTTTTCCCAGAAGAATTCTACATAGATTTCACTGGCCAGAACTATACAGTCATGGCGTTTATAGCCTCCTTAATAGATACAGGCAAAGGAGGAGGGTTAAGGAGGGATACCGGGTAACAACTTAGGGGTGATAATGGCATCACACTCCTGAAAATCATCAAGATCCTGCCAGAAGTTCCAAAATGAGGCCTGTGGTCATTTAAAATGTAAAATTCAGATTCACACTTTGTTTTCTTACATAAGTTGGTTTGCCAGAAGATTGGTAAATCAGAATTAAATCTATACTGCATACATACAGTACCGTGGATGTTCCAATAACATTTCAAGGGCTATTTTCATCAGACTGTGATGATGTGAGTCACTTCTCTCCTCTAAAGGAGACTGGATTTACTTGCCAAGCAAACCAGAACATTTGTGTGGGTCAGTCAAAGCACTTCTACCCTAGACAGTGGAAGAGACAGACACAGAGAGAAGGGAGGGCGGCAGGGTCATCTGTCTGCACCTTCACTCATTTCATAGTTGTTATTGTTCTTCTTTTGGTTTACATTTTTAAAATAATACGGGACAAATTCCTCATCTGTGTGAGCAATAGCATTTGGCAGAAATAAAGGTGAGTCACTTCTGAGATTGGGTTATTAAAGTCTGGGGCTTCCATCTTGGATGCTCCCCACCCCCCACTCTCTATCATTTCTCTCATCTCTCATCTGGGAGAAGCAAGCTACCATGTTTGAGCAGCCCTATGGGGAGATCCACGTGCCGAGGAACCGAAGCCTCCAGCCAACAGTCATGACTAAGCCCTGCAGCATGATGTGTGTGAGCTTGGAAGCAGCCTCTCCAGCCCCAACTGAGTCTGGAGATGACTGAAGCCCTGGCCAGCAGCTTGACTTCGGCCTTGTGAGGAACCCTGAGCCAAAACTACCCAGCAAGCCACTCTCAGATTCCCAGCCCTCAGAAACTATATGAGCTAAGAAAGTC